CACAGATAACGCTGTTCATTCTCCGGTTTTTCCCTTACTCGCCTTTTAAAACAACCAGGGGAGAGATTGGGTGGTGCGATCCTAAACCGATACTACCTATCCAACATTTTGCGGTAGGCAGCGGCTTGGCTCTGCACCTGGCATTGCTGAAGTCCATGGGCGACGATAACCACTCACCATCAGGTGGGCCGTATGGCCAGTCTGCCTACAATGGCAATAAAATTTTTTATCCCCATTTCGCGTTACCAGCGTATAGAAAACAAAGCCAACGAACCATCGTTGGCTAACTGGCAAGTGACATGCGAAGCGTACTTAAAAAAATAGTATAGCACATACTTTTGAGAGACTCAAAACCTTCGGCCATACTGTCGGACATGATTTAATTATTTCTAAAATATCGTCTTCGGACTTTAGAGTATTGGTAAGCATGTTATTAACTAGTTCTTCTTTTTCTATTCCATTCTCTTCTATCAACCGTCATCTCAACACTCACTCCTCTCTCTCTCATATCGTCATTCGCACACTCCATTCATGTCTTCTTCGGTCGACCTCTTCGCCTTTTACCTTGCACTATCATTTCCATACATCTCCTAGTCACATGTCATATAGCTCGTTAGGTACCGATTAAAAAGAGCTTGGATTCTTTAGTTTCGTTTGACCCTACCTATAAATCGCTGGAGCCTTTAGTGTCTATTTCAGCTATGCACAATTTGGTAGGTGAGCAAACGGGGCTCCAACTGCGAGAACTTGCCCTAGCCCTAGGAAGATCAGTGCTTTGCTGAATTTACTACCGGATCGGAATCGCGGCCTTCTAAGAAGACCTGATAAGACATTCAGTGGGTAGGATCTATGGAATAGGTTGCATGTCGAACTCTTCGTTATTGAACAGTCTCTAGCATCTATTGGTTTAAAAATTCAAAGGTACAATTCAATTCATTATCAAAACACCATTCAAGAATGTGAAACAAACTCTACATCCGGTCTCTACGGAAAAAAAATAGAGTACTATTTTGCTGATGAGATCTGATGTTGCGTTGAGAAAACGAAGAACTTAACAAATTCGTTGAAATGTGTATTTCAAGTAAGGGAACATAATTTTCGTCTGTAAAAAGCTTACGAATAGTTTGAAATTTTGCTTATTTATTATCCGACTAGCTGACCCGGCAGACTTCGTAGTGCCTCAATCGATAAATAAAAGACCTAAGCTTTTGGGGGACACATTAAAGGAAAAACAAAAGTGCTATTTTTATTTAATTACGAGCATTTTCATATTTATCTACCTTTTAAACCTTCTCTGGACTTCGTCAAATAATTCAAGACCAAAATTATCCAAATCTGTCACGCCGTTCTCGAGTTTTAGCGAGACTAAGGAACAGCAATTCATTTTTATACAGTCAAACCTGGGTAAGTGAGAACTGGATAAGTGAGAAAACTCTATAAGTGAGAGTAATAGCTAGGAACCGTCATTTTAAGCTCCCAAAACCTCTATTAGCGAGAAACAGAAACCTCTGTAAGAGAGAGTCGTTTTTCCCTCATGGACCTCCGTAAGTGAAACTGCTACTTATCTATACCTCTATAAGCGACAGTCGAGCTTTATTTATTTATTTTATCTAGGAGGAACAAGTAAAAAAACTAATTACAAATTTAACATCTGCTATTTTATGACTCATTCTTAACTTTTGTAGAACTTCCTTCCATTGTTTTTGTATTATATCTCGTCCATATTGAACCTATTCTATTTCGTGGAACTAAATAACGTTGTTATTTTATCGCATTCTTTTCGAATGGACACGTGTGCCTGTGTACCGTCATATTCGTCGGACTTACTCAGTTTATCGTTAATCAATTGCGAAGGAAAGTTCTGTTCTGCATCATGTCAAAACGGAAAATTAAAGTACTGTCATTAAGTGATAAACTTAAAATAGTGAATGCGTTTGAATCCGGAAAATCGCGAAATGAAATTCAGACGGAGCATTAGCGAGAAACTCGGGTTAGTGAGAAACCTCTTTAAGCGAGAATGAGATTGTGCTCCCTTGAACTCTCGCTTATCCAGGTTTGACTGTATATACTTATATAGATAGATTTAAAAAAGAGGAGATTCTCAATTTGACTTTTTTTTGTGGGCCATACAACTTTTCTCGAGGTGAACTGATTTTGATAATTCTTTTTTTATTTGATAGTTGATACTTTTGTGCTCGTTTGTTCCCATTAAAATATTCTCAAGATTTATTAGTTTTTTAGTTTTAGACATTTTGGAAAACTGGATTTTCTTTTCCAATTCTTTTTTAGTTAAATATATTTAAGTGTATGGAATCTTGAGTACACTACGTACAGGTATAAAATTTCTCGTCAGCTTAAATAATTTTCCTCTTAATGACTTTTTACGAATCGCTTTGAAGCAAGAACGAAAAACGATAACGGTCGCTGACGTAAATTCATTGCGAAATAATACACAATATTGTGGAATTCCAGGATTCATATTTGCTATTAATTATTATGTAAGTTAATTAATAAGGTTGAATGGTTTCTACATTTATGTTCCCCATGACTGATTGATTGATTCCAATTCTTTAGAGCTAATGTGGTTACAAATATGAAAGGACAATGCCCATTTTCTATGGGCGTTTGGGCCCCTAAAAAAAGTTGTCCTGTCATGATGGTTTTAACTTAATTTGATAGACAAAGAAATATCGTTTCATATTCAGAAAACGATTTTTATATTCTCACCCAGGTTTAAGAGAAATCTGTATTTTTTCTGCAGCTAAAATTAAGTTGTTAATTGTTTTCTTCGAAATCAATAATCGCTCTCATAATTATTTACAGTATTAAATAAGTTAATTGTGGTTAATGTTGCTAGAAATAAGCCCTTACGTACATTTTATTATTATTATATCCTCATAATAATAAAATGAAATGAAAATCCGGAAGCCGGCAACGATATTGTTGTTGTTGTTTTTAAATTAGCCAATAAGCAGGCAAAGAGCGTAGCCTATACAGCCTAGTCTGTCGAAGTTATATATTTTTTATGTCAATAAAAAGCCGGTGTATCTCTTTTTATTGCTTTTTGGCAGTTTTGACGTCAACTCGACGAATACCACATTGACTGAGCATGAGTTTACGCAGACCTTTTATACACAATATTACAAATACAAATAATACAAATTACACAATAAACTATTAAAAAAACATTAAAATAAAAATTCAAGTGACGCTTCACTCGGGTTGCTGCCAAAACTCTCTGATCGTATATAATAAGAATAGAGTAATGGTAGGCCATTGATATTTTTACTAATGGAATCATTAATATCTAAAAATATTAAATAATTCATGGTTTTAAGTAATAATTATTATTACAATATATAAATATTGAATTTAACAAAAATAAACTAAGAAGCCTGTGAATTATAAGCATTAGCTATTTTTTTTTAATTTGTTTGTTCAAGTCACAAACTACTCTTTCGTTTGACAGCATATAGGTTTGCTATAAGGCTGTATGGGCTAAGCCCTTTCCCTATTGGCGAATTTAAAAACTATGGCATGGATAGTTTTGGGATGTTATCAAATAAGTAATTTATTTTTTTGGAAAACAATGCCAGGTTGAAAGAAATGCTGATACATAAACTAAACAACGTGAAAAAATAAGGCATAGTTTTTCAAGTACAAATAGTTTTGACATAAAGTCGGCCCACTTTTGGGCATTGTCCTTTGGGCAGTCAATGCATTTTAAGCTATACGTACTGGTGGTAGGACCTCTTGTGAGTCCGTACGGGTATTTAAACATATATAGGTATGTATGTCAATCTCTGGTACCGATAACACGGGGAATCCTAATTCGTGGCCAAATGACCTTTTTTCAATTATTTATTAATTATATACTATTTAATAAAACTTTAAATTGATTATTCGTTTATACAATTTTGATGTTATTTAAATATATATTTCTCGCGTCACCGAAATCTAAACTGAAAAATTTTCTGCATTAATCAATTCAAGTAAGTCAAATAGTTTTGGGATTTAAAATAAAAATCACAAGCCGCTTTATATTTGCATATATAATATATATTTTTTTTAATTAAATAATAAATAATTTTACAGTCAATAATTTATGAGATATAGGCTCACTTGTAGACATAGTGATAATATATTTTTTAAAGCTCCGTCAAACGTTCTATATATGCTACTGTACATTATTAACATTAACTTTTACTTATCTTATACTACATTAACATTGTCGTCGTCGTGGGTGGCGCATTTACATTGTAGATGTCTATGGACTCCAGTAACCAATTACTTTAATTACTTATGCATTAAAATAAAATAAAACTTACAGTTAAGGTACATTATCTTATTATAAAACCACCTATAATAAATAGATAAGTAAAAGTAATTACAATTATGGTTCAGTCTAAGTTTATAGACATATGTATGTATGGATGTATGTATGTATGTATGTATGTATGTATATATTATTATGTATGTATGTATATACTTTTTGTAACTTAATATAAATTTCATTGCACCTACCACTATCCACTCTGTACTACCTTTGGTTGACTGGTAGAGAATGCCTTAGGCATTAAGTCCGCCAATGTAAATTTTACATGAAGTGTAATAAATAAATAAATAAATAATGCACTCGTTAAGATAATCCATTATTGTGTCTATAATGCTTTCGCTCAAAACACGTCATTACGGATCCTCCTGATCCATTAACGGTGCTTTTAGGTACCACAAGCACCGGTCACCGTCCTCGTCGAACCCGTCGCTTGCGACGAAGGGCTCGACGAGCGAATTAACCCATAGACACAGCCCACTGAGTTTCTCGCCGGATCTTCTCAGTGGGTCGCGTTTCCGGTCCGTCGGTAGATTCTGCGAAGCACTGCTCTTGCTAGGGTCAGCGTTAGCAACACTCCGGTTTGAGCCCCGTTAGCTCACCTACACGTTAAGGTGAAGCTGAAATAGCCTCTCAAGGCTAGGTAGGAAAAAAATCCTTTTCGTCAAAATCGCGTCCCTTAGTATGATTTGATTAATACGATGTGTTCAAATGATTAATATTTTTTCTCTCCACATAGCAAGAGCAGCAGACTGGCAGTCCTCCGTATACGGAAGCGGTGTCGAGTGATTGTCCGTCTATACTGAGCACCAGGAACTTGAAATCAATGGTAACCTGTCTACACGTCACGTAGTAGCTTCTCAATGCTCCGTATCCGAAATAAGATCTCCTGTATATATCAGAAGACCTCGTGATGTTTCCTTCGTTACTGCAATCAAATAATAATAGTATTATACAAATTGGTTTCCTTTTTTTGTTCTTTATCGCCTACGTAGGCAGACGAGGTTACTGCCCACCGGATGGTAAGTGTTCAACATCGCTCATGGACGTAAGCAACGCTAGGGGCGCACTTAAGTCGCTGCCTACAAGCATTGGCTGCAAATTAGTCACGAATTTCAGTTTGAACGCCAAGCAACGCTTAACGTCGAGTGAGCCGTGCGCTCGTCAGCCCGTACAGCAATAAAAACTATTTTCGGCCTGTACTAATTAAACTAAGCGTTTAAGTTACAGACATCACCTACGACAATACAGCTTTACTATAAAATTAAGACTTAGAGCTCACGTCTCAAGGTGGAAATTACGTTGTTGATGTCTATTAGTTCCGGCAACTATTTAGCACTAGACGGGCAGTATTGGGCACGATTAAATGTCACCTCTGTTTCCTATGAAACTATGGTTTAATAGACGTCCAGCTGTATATCAGTTATAACAATCTTGTAAGCAATCAACTTGCTATCAAGTGGCGAGATTGCAGGTAAAAGATCTCGTGGCCGCATTCCAATGCGCCGGTCCGACCAAATCCGCACCACTCTGGATACCACCGTCTACGATGCCATAGACACCGCCGAAAACAGTGGAAGATGGCGAAACATCATCCAGAGATAACGGGAGGAGATAGATGGTCACGACCATTGGCATTACTTTAGTCCACGGGCGATGGTAACCACTCGCCATTAGGGCCGTATGCTATTTTTTTTATTACTTAGAAGGGTGGACGAGCTCACATCCCACCTGGTGTTAAGCGGTTACTGGAGCCCATAGACATCTACAACGTAAAGTGCGCCACCCACCTTAAGATATAAGTTCTAAGGTCTCAAGTATAGTTAGAACGGCTGCCCCAACCTTCAAACCGAAACACATCACTGCTTCACGGCAGAAATAGACAGGGCGGTGGCTCGTCTACTTACAAGGGCAATAAAAAAAAACCAAAAGACATGAGGACTGCGACTCAGGGAGGAGGGCTCTGTATCCATTTACGGAGTTAACCAAAGCATACCTGCAATTAATGACGTTGACGATTTGCTTAAACCTCTCAGCTTGAACAACGAACCGAATGATGCCGTTCTCGTCTTCAATTTCGTACACCTGTGTAGGTGGCTGTTCAAAAAAGATATTCATTAATAATACGTTTTAGTCTAAGTACAATTGAAGCGTTAATTCAAGATCTATAACCCTATTCCAATTACGAAGTCCCTTTTGACACTTCTTAGAACGTAACTCTTCACGTTTCGGATTATTCATTACTAGCTGTACCCGTCCGCATCGCTGGGCATTTAAAATTAACATTATTTTTTCTCACCCCCACAAAAATTCTCATCATTAACACCCCCGCAACTGGTGTAGGGAGTCCAACACTTATATAAATATTAGCCTATCCATTAAGTACATATATTTTCTACATGGATACCAAGTTTCAAGTCAATCGAATGCACGGTTCAGTAGTTATAACGGAACATCGGCAAAAACCACTGTAGATTTATTTATATATTAGTATGGATTTAGTTTATGGTCGTGAATTTAAAAAATACACAATCAGTGTAAATCATTACACAATTAATTACACACACACACACAATATTTACATCTGTCTCATGGGACTTCGTAATTGGAATAGTTCAAGAATAGAACAAGTTCCAAACAACAACATTCCCCCATAGACACAGCCCACTGAGTTTCTCGCCGGATCTTCTCAGTGGGTCGCGTTTCCGATCCGGCGGTAGATTCTGCGAAGCACTGCTCTTGCTAGGTTCAGTGTTAGGATCACTCCGGTTTGAGTCCCCTGAGCTCACCTACTAGTTAAGGTTACGCTGAAATAGCCTCTCAAGGCTATCAGCTTAGGTAAAAAAAAAAAAAATTTTCGGACCGTCAGTCTACCGAGCAATATCATCTGCTCGGTGCAATATCTTCCCTTTGTCGTATATTCCCACAAACTGCTGAAAATAATCTGTTAAAAATTAGTGTGAATATTAACTTACCAGTATCTTAGATTTGCAGATTTCCATGAAGCTACCTTGTCGATGACCGAACACCCTGATCGCGTCGGCTATTCCCCAACCCTGCCGAGATAATAGTTCCATAAGAGATTCTATAAAAGCCTTTTTATTTCTTGCAAACAATAATTAACAATTCTTATAATATATATGTTACCGGAAATGTATGAAATCAAGGAATTGTATACAAATCCTAGGAAATGTGTACAATTCCGATACTATTTAGGAAATGTATAAAATATTGTTTGAAAAACTATTTAATGTATAGATTTCCTAGGAAATGTGTAATGTGTAGGTATAATATAATTTATTTCACACATTTCCGTGCGATTTTAGGAATTACATACATTTCCTAGGAATTGTATACAATGACGGATTACATACATTTCTGTTAACATATTATTATACACTTTTTTTATTATTATTTGAAAGAAATTTTCTTCGAGTTAAGGCCTACTCCTCCTTAAGGGATTAATGAATTAAAAAAATCACAATATTCTACTTCACTTTCGAGTTCACATCGAATTAAGAGGCCATGTCTCGCATGAACTACTTAAATATTAATAAGCGACTGATGGCCATTTTCACCGACATTTAGGGATCCCTTAACTGCATTTAAGGAGCCCCTAATTAAAAATTCGTTTTCACCAGCCTTTAGGTATCTCCTAAGTTCTTAAAAGGCTCCCTAAATTTAGGAACCCGATTTTTCGTTCCTTAACTGTCTCCTAACACTAGAAGACAGTTTTATGTCTGCTGTCATCTTTTTCAATATTAACATTCAAAAGGTTTGAAAACGATTTCTACAATGGACGATGATTTAACTCTATTTTTAGAAAGTTTTGAAGCAGTTGAGTCTTTACAGTTTACTTTAGTCTACTAAGCATTTAATGCTTTAGAGCTATAAGCATTATGAGGCTTTGAACAAATGTTCACGATTGACTTCCAAGGTGAAGGAATAACATCGTGTAATAAAAATCAAACCCGCAAAATTATAATTTGCGTAATTACTGGTGGTAGGACCTCTTGTTGACACCCCGCCAATTTCTGCCGTGAAGCAGTAATGCGTTTCGGTTTGATGGGTGGGGCGGCCGTTGGAACTATGTTGATACTGAACTTATATCTCAAGGTGGGTGGCGCATTTTACGTTGTAGATGTCTATGGGCTCTAATAACCGCTTAACACCAGGTGGGCTGTGAGCTCGTCGTCGATCTAAGCAATAAAAAAAAATTAAAATAGCAGAACGCCCATCCCGCCCTTCGACCAGAAAGACTACTCCCCGGTTGGAGTAGGCAGGACCGTTGTACCTATCCATACGGACTCACAATATGCAATAACATCAGACTAAACTACTGTCTACCTTATAAAAAGTTACGTGGTTATGTGAATTCGAATAATTCTTACCTTGCTATTTAATAGGCTATTGATTTTATCGATCGGATAGTCCTTAGATTTTTCAAAACACATCTTTTCGCCTCTGCATCCCGGTGGCATTTCGACTATAAGTGAATCGTTGTTCGAAATTGTATTGCCGACACTGAACTGAACCGACCCCTGAAAGAAATTCAGATTATTAACACTCAATTCTCGAATAGAACAGCTACTAATACAATTGTTAAAAAAAATAAAATTAGCTTCACGACTCACAATTAAAATCAAAGCTCTTAGTATAAGTGACATTTTTTTTTCGTTTGCGCTCTTCGATGAGACTAATATTTCGTGATTTAACGTGAATATAACTTAATGTTAACAATACGAGCGCTGGTTCTGTTGTGGCGATGTAGGGCGCTCCTGCAGCTTTATATTGAGAGAGCAACACGTGAAACTTATAAACACTTCTTATCAGCATTGTGACGTATCACGCGAGTTTCCTTTCTATAACGGAATATAAAAAAAATACTAATGAATACTCAAACAGCATTATCTATATATATAAATACGTGAAGCAAAAACTTTGTACCCCTTTTTACGAAAATTGCGCGGACGAAGGAGTATGAAACTTCTCAGAATTATCTATACTAATCTATACTTCTATACTAACATTATAAAGAGGAATGATTTGTTTTTTCGTTTGTATCGAATAGGCTCTGAAACTACTGAACTGATTTGAAAAATTCTTTCACTGTTTAGAAGCTACACTATTCCCGAGTGACATAGGCTATAATCTTTTTTGAAAAAAATTAGGGTTCCTTACTAAAACCTCAATAATGTAACCCAAGATGTAAAAAAATTACCTAAAATATTCTTTCGCGTGCCCTGCGAAAATTATTGATGATAGAATAAAAGAATGTACTACGACTTTGTAGAACACATTATTATTTACAAAAAGTGTCGCCACAGCATATTTCTAACTATTACAGTTATGCCGCAATAAGTGTTCATTTGTTTAAAAAAATAAAACAACGACAAATATCGTTGAAAATTTGTTATAAGCCCGAGCGGAGCCGGAGCGAGCCGCTTATAGAGAATATAGAGAAGGAGTGCAGAATGCTATTTTTTATTTAATTATGCATTAAATCAATAATAAAAAAACATTACACACATCACCGTGTATTTGACACACACATTATAATATACTAGAGGTCCCGCAGTAGTCGAAATTCGACTATAATTAATTGGAATTGTAAGTTTTTACACTATTATGATTGTGTTTTATACTTCTATAATCACAAATTTCGCCAAGACTACACTATAAAAAATATTAACAAAGACAAACAATATTTAATCTATTCTCAATTTGACAACAGACGTCAAGAGCAAAAGTTTGACAATAAATAGTATGCATGCGTGTGTGCGTCAAATACATGGTATGTATTGTGTGTAATGTTTTCTTTATTGATTTAATGTATCTTAATGTATTATTTAAAAAAAAAATTAGCATTGTGCACTTCTTCCCTATATCTATACTAATATTATAAAGAGGAAAGATTTGTTTGTTTGTTTGTTTCGAATAGGCTCCGAAACTACTGGACCGATTTGAAAAATTCTTTTTCCATTAGAAGCCGACATTGTCCCTGATGAACATAGGCTACTTTTTTTAATTTTTTTTTATTTTTTTTTGTTGGTTTCATGTGTGTTTTAATGTTTCCGAAGCGAAGCGAGGGCGGGTCGCTAGTTCTCTATAAGTATGGAAAATTTCATACTCCTCCGTCCGCGCAATTTTCGTAAAAAGGGATACAAAGTCTTTGCTTCACGTATTAATATATAGATTATATACTCTTTGTTTAGTGTCAAACTTTTGCTATTGCTTAAAGTCTGTAGTTAAATTGACAATAGATTAAGATTTTTAATCTGTAATATTATTTGTCTAAAGTGTAGCCTTAGCGAAATCTGTGATTATAGAAGTATATTATTAATCTTTGACAATAGAACCATGATAAAGTTCAAACTTATAATTTCAAATAATTATTGTTAAATTTCGATTACCGGGGGACCACTAGTAAATATTATTGCATGCTCAAACATATTCTTGTCACCAGTTAGTCCCACATCAGTGAGAATAATAAAAACTGCTTTGACATCTTATTATTTCTGTACTTTCGAGCTAATTACGTTTTTCGTCGTTAAAGAAGATCCATAGTTTTTTTATTTTAATTACTTTTAACTATTTTTGTTACTTAATCTGGCTTCGATATCACGGAAAACTAAGAAAAACTGTAAAGTATTACAGATCGGTATTAATCGATAATTTAAGTAGATTCAAGAAAGCTGGTGACATTATTATAATAAAAAAAATCCTATTAAAATTTATCTAGTTCATCTGAGGTAGAACATTTAATATTATACAACTGCTACATATTGGCACACGACTGTAAGCACTACGCGTTGCGACTAAGTCATATCGTTGAGTTAGAACGTAAAATCGCGAGTGAATCCGCGAATTTGTTGCTAACTAATTTGATAACGAAATGTGACGTAGCCGCCGGATAACAATCGGAAATCGTAAGAATGACGTGTTATTGTGACGTAGTTCTGTGACTTCACGACTTGAAAGATTTATAATTATTTGCATGATTATTATTATATTTATTATTTTCTTTCGGTATATGGCCAGACAAATTCTCGTAATATAACGAGTTATAAAGAGCGGACCGTTAGCGTGGTATGGAAATGTGATGCGTAGAGAAGATGCATGGGACTATGAGAGGTATGGAAATGGTAGTGCAAGGTAGAGGGGGAAGAGGTCGACCGAAGAAGACATGGATGGAGTGTGTGAATGACGATATGAGTGAGAGAGAGGAGTAAGTATTGAGATGATGGCTGTTAGAATAGAATGGAAGAGAAAAATTTGCTGTGCCGATCCCACATCGTGTAATAAAAACCAAACCCGTAAAATTATAATTTGCGTAATTACTGGTGGTCAGACCTCTTGTGAGTGCGCTCGGGTAGGTACCACCGCCCTGCCTATTTCTCCCGTGAAGCAGTAATGCGTTTCGGATTGAAGGGTAGAGCAGCCGTTGTAATTATACTTGAGACCTTAGAACTTATATCTCAAGGTGGGTGGCGGATTTACATTGTAGATGTCTATGGGCTCCAGTAACCACTTAACACCGGGTGGGCTGTGAGTTCGTCCACCCATCTAAGCAATAAAAAAATACCTAGTGGGATAAGGTAGAGAAAAAGAAGAAGATGGCCAGACAAATCTTAGGTGTATCTAAAGCTTCATGTGGCTGTCAGAGCCCATAGACATAACGTGATAATCGATGCTCACAGTGAGAAGGGTTCGAGTGAACGTAAATTGCGATTTAATTGGGTCCAAAATAACAGAATAGCTAATCTTTTGATTAACATGAGATATGATTATATCTTTTAATAAAAGCTTTTGAAATCCTGTGGTGTATAAATAAAATAGATGATTACCGAGCTTTGCTCGTTTTTATTTTTTATAACGCCAACTTGTTGTGTCTTTAAAGCAGTAAAAATAGTATTATTATTCGCCAATAGATGTCAGGAAGAGTTGATTATCGATAAAGTTGTATTGAAAACACGAATAAAACAACATTTTCTGAAAATAAATCGTAGCTAGATCGATTTATCGCCCCGGAAATCCCCTGTATACTAAATTTTATGAAAATCGTTGAAGCCGTTTCCGAGATTCAGATTATATATATATATATATATATATATCTCTCTATATAAATAATTCAATCTCGTTTTTGCAGGATAGCCGTCGGAACAGCGTGGTTTATGTGAAAAGTGGATCTCTACGACGATCTGGGATTAAACTCCATTAGTAAGTATCTACAGTCGGCATCGGTGTGCTAATTCGAGAAAACGGCACGACACGAAAACCTTCTTGTCGTGGCCGCCGGTAACTACATACCCGATCCTGCGGACCGAATGGTGAACAGCCGACGTCGCCCAAAACACGTCATTTCTTGTGCTTTTAGGTACTTTTAGGTAGGTCAAGCACCGGTCACCGTTCTCGTCGAACCCGTCACTTAAGGTTCGGCGAGTAAATAAACCCATAGACACAGCCCACTGAGTTTCACGCCGAATCTTCTGAGTGGGGCGCGTTTCCGATCCGGTGGTAGATTCTGCGAGGCACTGCTCTTGCTAGGGCTAGTGTGACATAAATTGGCGCACTTAATGCCTAAGGTATTTTCTACTAAGGGTGATACAGAAAATAACGTTTTTATTTATTTATTTTTTATTGCTTAGATGGGTGGACGAGCTCACAGCCCACCTGGTGTTAAGTGGTTACTGGAGCCCATAGACATCTACAATGTAAATGCGCCACCCACCTTGAGATATAAGTTCTAAGGTCTCAGTATAGTTACAACGGCTACCCCACCCTTCAAACCGAAACGCATTACTGCTTCACGGCAGAAATAGGTGGGGGTGGTGGTACCTACATGTGCGGACTCACAAGAGGTCCTACCACCAGTGACAAGTGGTGTACTAGTTGATATATGAATTAGGTGTACTAGTTGATATATGAATAGAAAAAAAATACTTTACTATAAAAATGTACAGCATTAGCCAATTGGGGGATTAAAAAATACAAAATAAATTTTAATAAATTTAAATTGAAAATAGTGTAAGTAAAATATATTTTATTTTAAAAAAAGTGTGGGCTATCGACTATAGATAAAAATTATATAAATTGGCAAAAATTTTATTTTGCAAATTGAATAATGGAATAATCTTATCATCGGTCATCATTGGTATTGCCATCGGTCCTTGATAAATCTACAAAGTTTGAATGAAATCTGGTAGATGGCGCTGTTATTAATTATTTAAGATTTTAAAATTGTAATCTGAAAGCTTTGAAACATCAATCCGCATAAATGTAATTTAAAAACTATTGGAAGAGGCTTGAATAAAAAGCCGAACTTAACTCAGTGAGGGAGTCATATAGAGTCCCTTCTTTATTTCGCCGTAAAGTCGTGTTTTATATAATTAACACCACAATTGAAATAATATAAATTTTATTGTTGTATCGGCATAAATAATTCTAAGTAATTATATTACATTAGTTATTAAACACATTAAAAATTATTTTTATGTTTTTCATATTTGGCGGTAAAAAGGTCCTGTGTCACAGACTATATCCTTTTTCCCACATCTCGTGCGTTCCGGCTTACGCATAATAAAACGCCACATCAGCCATAATTAGTATTTTCTTCGGAATTCAGTAGTACAACTCAAGTTATTTTGATGAAATCAAAACTGAAATATTCATAACATCTTAAACAATCACCTACGAATAAATATTATCTATTGTATATTAAATATTATTCATTCGTAGACAATCACAATGGTTTTATAGTTTTGGGAAGGGATTTTTTGTAGCGCCATCTCGTGAAGTTTTTCGGTATTTCAAAACAAAACTGTCCCTCCAACAGT